AAATAAGGGATTCAAAAGTTTAGCAAATGGAAGAGGAACATCTTTGATGGCTTGTGTGGGGAGCCATTTGGTCCAAGGCCACGTTAAAAGAAAAGAATTCAGCATAGTTGGAAGGAAGAGAGAGATGGTCTGGACTTCCATCTCTGTGGGAAGGACCTAAGGGGATCCCAGAGAAAGAACCAGGGGAAGAATATAAGAATGCAGTTAATTCCTAATGTGAGCCTTGAGAAAGGCATAAGACTCCAAGGAGACAGTCATATGGATAACAGTTCTGCAGGGGAGCAGAGAACTGGGGCAAACCTAAGACAGACAGTTGTCTGTGATAGGAAGAAGTTGTTTGGTTTGTCTTTTGTCTGCTTCTAGGATTTTACTGAGCATTTCCAGGGAGAAGCCCTGAGACCTTCTGCTCTAGAAGTAGGGGCTGAAGACGAGCCCAGGTCAGGTGGACAGCACTGTATTTGCTACCACTGTTTTGTCAGACTGTTTGGAGCATTTATACTTCAGAAGAGATAGAACTCTAGTGTGACTGTCTACAGACTAGACCCACCAGACTAGACCCTTGACATTCCAAGGCAGAGAGCTAGGAGGAGTTGCTGGAATGTTTTTTCATGCCACACAGAAGCACTCTGTGGCACGCAGCCAGCCCTTTCATATCTTCTGCAGATTTCTATCCCAGATGACAGAAATCATCTGTTCAGCTAAAAAATATTTTGGAGCTTTGCTTTTGCTTCTTCCTAGCAGCACCGCCAGAACCAGAACTTTCTTTCAGAGCTCTAGCGGCAAACATTCCGGCTGTGTCCAGACTGGCAAGTTTTTCCGCAAAATCATCTCCTTTTGCGGAAAAACTTGCCAGCTGTCTACACTGGCCGCTTGAATTTCCAGAAAAGCACTGATGATCTCATGTAAGATTGTCAGTGCTTCTCCGGAAATAGTATGCTGCTCCTGTTCGGGCAAAAGTCTTTTTCTGAAAGACTTTTGCGCAAAAGGGCCAGTGTAGACAGCACAGTACTGTTTTCCGCAAAAAAGCCCCGTTCGCCATTTTTTGTGATCGGGGCTATTTTGCGGAAAACCGTGTTTAGATTGGCCACGGATGCGTTTCCACAAAAAGTGCTTTTGCGAAAAAGCATCCTGCCAATCTAGACGCACTTTTCCGAAAATGCTTTTAACAGAAAACTTTTCCGTTAAAAGCATTTCCGGAAAATCATGCCAGTGTAGACGTTGCTTCCTGGTTTTGGTACAACAGATCCTTGTTCTCTGGTACAATGGGAACTGGGTACTTCAGGGACAAAGGAATGACATAACTTGTTGGGATCTCACCCAACTCTGTAATTGACTCTATCACCTAAGCACAAGCACAGGTGTATTAGAGATTACATAGTACACTTCCAACCCTCATTTCAGATCTGCCTGGTAAAACTGAGTCCTTCAAGTTGCAGGTCCTGCCATCTGCTCACTAGCACCAGTGTGCTTCTCTGGACTCTTGTAAGTGAGACCAGGTGTATTAGAGATTACATAGTACACTTCCAACCCTCATTTCAGATCTGCCTGGTAAAGCTGAGTCCTTCAAGTTGCAGGTCCTGCCATCTGCTCACTAGCACAAGTGTGCTTCTCTGGACTCTTGTAAGTGAGACTGTGGCCTGTACCATTAACCTGGTCCATAATTGTCATGAAATTGGAGACTACTAAGGCAGGCAGAGGGTAGTAGGTAAGCACAAGCCCTCTCTGCCACATCAGTACACACTGGTAGACTAAGTTTGAATACTCTAGTATAGACTCTAGGGTTCTCCTTCCAGCCTCGGAAAGTATAATGAAACTGTGATTTACAGGCATTAAATCAAAAGGCAGATATATCTATATTTGCTGTTGGAGAGAAGAGACCTTTAATACATGATACCTTGGCCAGCACATAGAAACAGTCTCCGTGGAAGGTGTATTTCTTCTTATCAAAGGTGGTAATGTGAGCACCTCCTTCCAGTAAGCATGAGCCTGGACACGGTAAGTCATTGCACAACCACCTGCCTGAATCACAGGTACTATAAATACAAATAAATAAGAAATTAAAAATGGGGTCAGGTGTCTAAGGGACTGAAAACATTGAAAAAACATCTGCAGACAGAGCACCACAGGGACAGGACGAAGTACCCACAGGTGCTTTGAAAATGTGTCATTGGCTGGTTATATAAAAGGCTTCGCCTTTAACAATTTCAGACTCAAGATGCCAAAAAATCAGCTCACAACAGCA